GTGGTCTTCGCCAATACGGAAAACAACGCTATCTCTGGAGCGTTGTATACGTTTTATGTTCTGTGTAGCGTCCTCTTAATAAAAAAATCTGATATCTTTCAACGATATTATTTTGTCGTCTAATTAATTTTATTTTTGACCTTTTCTATACTAAGGGGAATCACACATGAATAAAAAAAATACTTAAAATAAAATTTGTAATAATCATAACGGGATATTTATGTTGAGAAAAAGACATTTTAGTCGCCAAGTAAGAATATTTTAAAAATACACTGCTGCTTTTACAAATTAAGATTTTTCTTTAAAATAGACTTTTCTAGCTTATTTATAAAGGCAAATTTTTTATTTTACCAACAATTTTAGCTTCGATGCGAAGCTGAGAAGGTATTGGTTTTACTAAGATGTGTTTTTTTTTTTGTGTCTGTTACCACTTTTTCTCAGCTCTCACCGAACCGATTTCTTTCAATGATACGTCAGAAGATCACAAATCGTATCTAGTCGAAGACATTACCCTTAAAAATTGAAAAAAATTCCCTCGTTCCCCGTAAAAGGGGGAAACCTCCAAAAGAATTACAAATTTAAAAATCGCTAATTTTCGAAATTTTTTCAATTTTTTTTACTTAAAAGTGCCATAACTTTTTCAAAAATAAACATATCAATATAATTCTTTTTTATATAGATGCATAATATCATTACCTTTCATTTGGTATATTTTTTTCATAAATTTAACCCTTAACCTGCCCACAAGGGGGGATTTAAAATGACAACTTTTTCACAAAAAATTAATTTTTTTAACTTAAATTTTGAAAATGTTCCGGAAGGTCTGACACTTTTATATATATCTTAAATTAAAGCTAATGTAATATGCTTTATCATGAAAAAAAAAAATTTCGGACTTTATCTTATCTTCATGGTGAAAATGGCTACCGAATGCTATTTTTGTGTGAAAATTTTCGATTTTGTATTTTCCATTTTTAACTTTATTATGCTATAACTTTTTGAAAAATGTATGAATCATTACAATTTTTTTATGAGAAGTAGTATTTATATAGATCTTTCATTCGACATACTGTTTTTTTAAATCGGACCATTTCCCTAAATACAGGGGGGATTCAAAACATAAAAATGCATATAGAAAGTAGAACTTTTTCAACGTAACTTTTGAAAGTGTTCCGGAAGGTCTGACACTTTTATATATATCTTAAATTAAAGCTAATGTAATATACTTTATAATGGTAAAAAAAAATTTCGGACTTTATTTTATCTTCATGGTGAAAACAGACATTAAACTTAATAAAAAAAATACGATTTTTGTAAAAAAATTCTTTTTTATATTTTTAACTTTATAATGCTATAACTTCTCGAAAGATGTATGGATCAATATAATTCTTTTTTTTGTAGATGCATGATGTCTTTACCTATCATTTGGTATATTTTTTTTATAAATCTGACTTTTTACCTGCCTACAGGGGGGGATTCAAAATGACAACTTTTTCACAAAAAATTGACTTTTTCAACTTAAATTTTGAAAGTGTTCCGGAAAGTCTGACACTTTTATATATATCTTAAATTAAAGCTAATGTAATATACTTTATCATGGAAAAAAAAAATTTCGGACTTTATTTTATCTTCAAGGTGAAAATGGCTACCAAATGCTATTATTGTGTGAAAATTCTCAATTTTATTTTTTACATTTTTAACATTATAATGCTATAACTTATTGAAAAGTGTATGGATCAACATTATTTTTTTATGGGAAATACTATTTTCTAATAATCTCTTTTTTATTCGACATACTTTGTCTTAATCAGGGTATTAATAAGGAACTAGCAGTTTATGAAGCTTTTTGTAAATTTTTGTTAATTTTGTAAAATCAAGATCTTTTAGTAATTTAATTAACTAAATGGAAATATTTATGTTGCAAGTAAAATAAAATGGTAACATTTATTTTTTAATGATTCATTTTTATCAACTGAACAGTGTTATACAGGATGATTGACTAACTTTACTATTGAAAATATTATTATAGATATAAAACTATTTTGAACCTATGAATACTCAATTATTTGATAATAACAAATTAACCTAATAGTTACCTTATTGAATTTACGAATAAATAACAAAAAATAAGATGTTATTTTTTATTTAAATATTTAGTTTATAATGAAAAGCAAAATAGCAATGTTTATTATCTAATTCAATAAATTTCATCAAATGTAATACATTGATAGTATTAAACCCAATTGAAATAATTTAAATACTTTTATGTATTATGGAAATTCAAAAACTCAAATGCTTCAATCAATTATACATAATTTAATCAACTGAATAATTAATTTAATAATTAACAATTAAAGATAAAATGTGTTATACTGGACATCTCTGTTTAAGCTGACAACTTTTTTCATATTAGATCCAATTATCATTTTGCTGAAAATTTTAACTTATTATATTAAATTGATAATAATAATCATTTTATCAATTTCAGATTGCAATGTTTGCCGAAATATTGGGCATCGGGGGCGGGAGTATCCCAAGAAAGGTGGTTATATTTTTTAACTTAATGGGTTGATATAAGTCGTTCAATAAGGAGATTCTTATCTTATAGCTGTATGGTAATTTCTAATAGATATCTTTTGTTTTGTAACAGAGGCTCCACTAACAGCGGAGGCTGTGGCGGTGGTGTCTCCAGCAGCGGTGGCGGTTCCAGCAGCGGTGGCGGCTCCAGAAGCGGTGGTGGCTCCAGCAGCGGTGGCGGCTCCAGCAATTGGGAAAAAAAAAAATTAAATTTTTTTTTTTTTTTTTTTAATATAGATTATTTTTAACACTGAGTTTATTAATTTATAGTTTATTTCGCTTTTGTTATAAGTCAAACGTGAACTCATGTTGATTAAAAAAATACAAACTAAGTAGAAAATATATACCAGAACAGTATAACAGAAACGCCGTCGAACCGTCACCCGAATTCGTCGACGTCGGGTTGAATGACGTCAGTAAAATAATTCAATCGCTTTTAAATACGACGGAAATAAAGACTTTTAATTCTTATTTTTATTTCTCTCCCATTGTGTGTAGATTGCCGCCACCGTCAGAGTTCCAACGAACGAGCCCTCGACGTCGCTCCGTCCGAAGTGAGTTTAGTCATTTCGAATATTATAATAAATAGTATAATTATATATTATATATATATATTATATATCCGATTCTTTTTCTTCATTACTGCTACTATGTCCGGTTGGTTGTATAGTTCATATACGTCATCATTAGTTCTACGCTCATATTCATTGGTTTCCTCATTCTTTTTGTGGCCAAAAATTGTCTTAGAAATTTTTTTCAAATATTGCTAGCTTTATCTTATCCGTTTTTGTTGAGGGCCACGCCTCACTTGCGTATAAAGCAATAGGCCTGACAAGTACTTTATACATTTTTATTTTCGACCTTTTTCAGAAGATTCTAGACTTAAAGAGTGATTTTAACATTCCAAGACATCTATTAACTGCAGTTATTCTTCTTTGTATTTCATTGTGTCCCCCATTGGTTGTGTCCAGACCCACTCCAAAGTATTTAAAAGTTTCTACTCTTTCAAATCTCATTTTTCCTACTTCTAATTCTGTTTGGTTGTGAAATCTTCGTGATAATATCATGTATTTTGTTTTGTTTTCATTGATTATTAATCCTCCTCCTTACTTTTTTTCATCAAACTTGATGTTGTCGTTTTTAGATTTGCTTCTGATTCAGCTACTGTCATAATATCATCTGCGTATGCTACTATAGTTACTTCTGCGTTTTCATGAATTTTAACCCCTGTGTTGAGCTCTAGGACATGTCTTACTACATATTCTAGTGCTAATTAAAAAGCATAGGAGATAGTGCATCACCTTGTCTTAAACCATTTTCTATATTGAATTCTTCCGACATTTGCTGATTGTATCTAATACTACATTTAGAAATTGTATTACAGGTTTTTATTAATTTTACCATTTTTTCCGGTATTCCAAATTTTAGCATCACAGCCCACAAGAATTCTCTGATGATCGAGTCATAAGCTTGTTTATAGTCAATGAATAGGATAAATAAGTCTTGATTGTATTCTTAACCTTTCTCTATTAGTTGTTTTACTATGTGAATTTGGTCCAATGTAGATTTACCTTTTATGAATCCTGCTTGATATTCTCCTACTATTTCTTGATAGTATCTTGTATACTGTGCAAAGCAAAGATATTCCCCTGTAATTTCTGCAATCCAACGCATCTCCCTTTTTATATATTAGGCATAAGATAGAAGTATTCCATTGTACCGGCAATATTTCTTCCTTCCATATTTTTCGAATTATATTTCCCATCCGTTGTACTAAAGCTTGGCCTCTTTTTTTTGTGAGTTCTGTAGCTATATCATCCTCTCCTGGCGATTTTCCATTTTTGAGCATTTATATGGCTCTATCTACCTCTTCATATGTTAGTTCAATCAGATCTTGTTTTATTATAACATCTGGTTCAGGTACTACTGTTTCCCTGAAATGGTCCGAACTTCCACTTACTCTTCTGTAACTTCTTACATCCGTTATATATCTTCTTCTTTTTGCATCAGGCATCCAGGTTTCCTTATGAATATTTTTACGAGGAAAACAATTGCTACTAATTGTCATGTTTGATGCTAAGGCTAAATTTATTTGCCTTTTCCCATTGTCGTTAGACATTTTGTGTAAACTTTCTTTTCCAATGATCCGTTTGATAGTTGGTTCCTTTCCAATTTTGGCATTAAAGTCACCAAGCATTATTTTTATATGGTTATTTGAAAGTGTGCTATAGACTCTTCCTATATCTTCATTAAATTCACTTTTTTGGTCTTCATCCTTGTCTTCCGTAA